ACAGCCGCTGTGGACTTTGAAACAGACGAGCTGATACAGAAGACCATCAGGAGTGAGTTCAAGGACAGCACAGTGCTCACCATTGCACACAGACTTAACACAATTCTAGACTACGACAGGTAAATTTAACGTTTAACGTTGACCAGCCACGTATCTCTCGCTGGCTTTATTTTGAATATAATTTCAAGAACTACAACCGTATCTATATCTGCATACTACAGCCATATCTATATCTGCATACTACAGCCATATCTGTATCTGCATACTACAGCCATATCTATATCTGCATACTACAGCCATATCTATATCTGCATACTACAGCCATATCTATAACTGCATACTACAGCCATATATATATCTGCATACTACAGCCATATATATATATATATATCTGCATACTACAGCCTTATCTATATCTGCGTACTACAAAGGTATCTATGTTTGTGTATTACAGCCGTGTCTCTGTTATTAAATTAATTGGATGTTATTGGAATGACCTTACAAATTAATCATTTGTTCTCTTACATGTTCACAGAGTGATGGTCCTTGATCAGGGTTACATCAAAGAGTTCAGCTCACCCAACATCCTTCTCAGTGACAAGACGTCCATCTTCTACGGCATGGCTAAGGATGCAGGACTCGTCTAGGACAACTGCCTGTTAATTTGGCAGATTTTTATTATTATTATCATGTTTGAAAAAATTGATTCTGGATATTCGGACGTTGGGCGTTTAAGGGCAATGGGTATGTAGGGGGTCAATGGGTGTTTAAGGCAATGGGTGTTTCAGGGTGATGCTTCTTTTAGGGAAATGTATGTTAGAACTTAGTGTTTTAAAGGGCTGAGTGATCATGCAAGTCTTGATTCTACTCAAATGATGTTAGTGTATTCCCTTTTTAAATATGAACTAAATAATATGCAAGTCTTAAGGTCAAGTAATGTAAATTTTGATTTTTGCTAGAAAGTTATTTTTGTTAGAAAGTTATTTTTGTTTAGATTTTGATGTTTAAATGATTTTAATTTATTTTTCTTCTAGTATGCAAACATAATACGAGGTGGGAAATGTGCTGCCTTAAGAAAATTTTAAGTCATTTTTTTATTTTAAATTCACTGCATTTTTAACGCTGCAAAATGTTACTCTGGATATATCACACTGCAATGATATCAATACCCCTTATCCCCCCCCCAACCCTTAACCCGAGCCAGAAAAAGCAACAAAAAGTAAAACAAGACAAAAACTACACATAGACACAAATTAATATACATACTCTTAGAACCAGATGTCTTCTATAAATAACAATGAGACATAACAGCACTAGCTCTTATCATACTGTTGCTACTGCTGTAAGATCAAATATTTAAGATAACCGAAAAGCCTACAATGGAATATTAGCGAAACTGAGAACTACACCGCGTTCAGTAGATTGTGGGCCCTGATTGTTGCTGTCAGCTGGCGTTCTCTCCCCCTTGACTGACCACACGGACCTAATGAGCTCAGTCATGGGGGACTAATCACCCCCTGATAGAAACCTGTCGCCACCACTGACTGCGGTGGAATTAAATGGTGTTTGTGTCATGGGCTAGTTGTCTAATAATGAAACTGTGTTTAAGCAGAGTTGCTGGATTCTGCTGGAATTTTTTTAATAATTAAATTGTTGCCTTTGTTTCACCTCACATGACTGAGGGTGAGTTCTTTTGATATTGTGTTTAATTTTGTCTATGTGCGTGTCAGTTATCTGAAATGATTTTTTTTTTTTTTTTTTGTATTGGAAAAATAGTTTTTTTTAATTCTGGAAACATCACTTTACTGTTTTCACGGCGTCGGCCTTTTTTTTTATTTTTTGTATTTTTTTTTTTTTTTTTTTTTTTGTTTTTTTGTTTTTTGAAATTTTTTTTTTTTTTTTTTTTTTGTATTGGAAAAATAGTTTTTTTTAATCCTGGAAACATCACGTGACTGTTTTCACGGCGTCGGCCTTTTTTTTTAACGATAACAATTTGTTACTGACAAAACAATGATCAATCGTTTGCTGTTCGTCAAATGTCAAATGTCAACTGTCGTTCTTGAAAAAATTGATAATTCAATCACGTTATCGTTTTCATATGCAGTTTTGTGTGGAAACTGTTTTCTTATCAAAAATCAATACGAGTGTTATCTTATCAAAAGTCAATAAGAGTGTTATCTTATCAAAAGTCAATACGAGTGTTATCTTATCAAAAGTCAATACGAGTGTTATCTTATCAAAAGTCAATAAGAGTGTTATCTTATCAAAAGTCAATACGAGTGTTATCTTATCAAAAGTCAATACGAGTGTTTAAAATAATTGTTCGTTGTAATTTAAGTTGAAATGTAAATCTTTGTGTATATTAAACAAGAGCTGTGTTTACTAAAAATATAAAATGATATGTTTTATTACTGTCGCTATGTGCATTTCTTGAACCACCATTAAACTGTATGGGATAAATTAAATGAAATTAGGTTTAGAATTTAGGACAAGGTTTTAAAGTGATCTATTCAAAACCAAGTTCCAGTAAATCACATTATCTCGAATCCATTATCGTTTGAATTGTACGGCTGTAGCTGACACAGCACAGTGCTTCAGTTATGTGATTTAAAATCAAAAGAAATAATTCTACAATCAACCCCCTTTTCAAATGTGTTTCCCTCTACTCTATGTTTGTTTTTCCCATCGAGTGGTATGTGGTAGTTTTTAAATGACTGTCAATTATTACCTGACTTGCCACATTTATTTTAACAAGTTAATGAATTATCTTTAATAAAATATGTGCGTAATGAGTAACATCTTATGTTTTGTTCGGTCATTTTTTAAACTTGTTCTTAACCAGGTGTCCAGAGTCCAGCGAAAGATTTCAAAAACAAACACGACGCTTATAACAACATGCTGTACACAATATGTAGCTCCCACGTGTTTAAATACATTCACGTTGTAACAAATATCTCATTACTGAGTGATTGACTGAAATCTCCCTTCGGTATTTGACTGAATGCATTATTCAGTGTTTGACTGAAAGCATCATTCAGTGTTTGACTCAAAGCATCATTCAGTGGACAATAAATGAAGGCTCAAGATAATACGCACTGTAAGATCTCACGCTGAACTTTGTCCTTTGACCATCAAGTTCATATAGAGGTTGTTTCAATGATTTAAGTTTAGATAGTAGAAAGGTTGAGCAAATAAATCCAAAGAAAGAAACTGGCAGCCTCGGGGCGTCTATCCCCCCCCCCCCCAAAAAAAAATAAAAAAATACAAACATGCCCCGTCCCTTGTAGCCACTTAAAAATAATTCATCCAGACAGTCAGCAGAGTTACAGAGATCTCCCTTGCAGTTTGCGAAAGTGATGACGTCATTGTCGATAAAAAGGAAATTGATTAGATAAAAGCTACCGCTCAGACTGTACAAATAAACGACACATTTGGCCAGGATTTTGAGAGGTCTGAGTCTTGATACAAAAATGGGTCATCTTTAGAGTTGGAATTTGCGTCATTTCGCTAATTTATCTCTAAAATGTATATGCCCATATATGGACAATAACGTAAAAGATTTTTTAAAATTTTTTCTTTTTTTTTTTCTTTTTTTTTTTTTTTTTTTTACTATTGATCACCAGAATTCAGTTGACCTATTTGTTATGGCTATGTTTTGAAATCGTATCCTAACACATGATCACATTTAATTGTGACCTTGAAAATTATCCTTCTATCTCCTGCAACATATTTACAATTTACAGTCCAGTCAAACCAATAAACTCAACATCTTCTTGCACTCCTGTAACTCATCATATCTTAAGATACGATAAAAGAGTTCTCAATTGATCCAAATACTTATCAATGATTTTTTTATTATAGACAGTGTACAAACTGTTCCACTTCAGCACATCAATCAAATAAATATTGCAATCAAGACAACATTTTACAAGTAGAACAATTTAATCATAAAACTTCTAAAGTATTTAAATAGCGCTAAAATCAGCCATCATATAAGATTGAGCTATGCTGACCTAACGCCAAAGAACCGATAAGATTTAAACATGTTCGGATTCTTAAAAACGATCATAGTTATTTTCTTTTATTTTACGGAAATCGAATGAAAGTAAATGCGCAAAATATAATACAGATCCGTTTTTATTTTAGTGAAATTTTAAGTATTATTATTATGAATTAGAAATCCATTTTAAGTATCAACTAAGGAACTATTTGAAGCATTTTATGTGTTTGAAAGTTATGAAAAAATAAAAAATAAAAACATTATGATCCAAGAATTACACCGTAATCACATTTATCGGGAACATCCAAACATCAGTTATTTTTAGTGCGTTTTTTTTGGTGTGTTGTTAATATTGCAAAATAATATTAAAAATAATTTGTTCTAAATAATCACGCAAATCACGTCATAGCGCGCCTATTAGCCAAGGCTAAAAATTATCCTATTTAATAACCACATGTTACAAAATTGATAATGTATTTTTCCCTTCTTTAAAGTAAAATTAATTAATATAGCGTATTGGTTTTTTAATCGCTAATATTTGGCTAAAATTGAATACAAATTTTGCTTTGTATTTTTAACATCTAATAAGGTCTTACTTTTATTCATTCTAAAATATACTTTTATGAAATTTATAAAGCTAAACCTTTTTCAAAGCTAAACCTTTAAATGTACTTTTAATGAGTTAATGCCGTTTAATTCAAATAGTACAGCGAAACATTATAGCTAAATATGATCCATTAATGCACTTATCACTCCTCAAAATAAGAGCAAATCATATGAAATGCAACAAATGTGTTTTTTGCGTAAGTAAGGAGGTTACAATTACGAGTAACACGATACTTTCATTTTGCCCAAGGCAGCACAAGATACACCTCACAATGAATTTGATAAATAATTAACCTTCTTAGGTATATATATATATATATATATATATATCGGGTTAGGAAATAGGGTGTGTACATTTTTACGTGGATGACAATATCTTTAAATCCAAATGATGTCACATATGTGAAAAATAGATGCTATATTTCTCATTTTACAAATGAACATATGTTTACCAATTAAGAAAATCGATTGAGTTAACAAAACTTAAGTACATTTACAAAATTATACCCATGAATATCAAAACCTAATCATTTTACGCAAGTAAATAGAGACGGTTAAGATTGTCCTAGATGAATTGATATATGATAGATAGACAGACCAAAAGACAGACAGGCCGACAGTCAGTTAGACCGACAGACATACCGAACGACACTCATACCGACCGACAGACATACCGACCGAGAGACATAGCGACCGACAGACATAGCGACCGACAGACATACATGCGTCAAATTGGAAAATGGCTTCTGTGGGTCGTCAAGCTCGAGCTCTTAATACACCCCCCCCCCGGGCAAGTCTCCACACGGGCCAGACGCCGGGTTTCATACATACATACAGACTGACATACATACCAACCGACCGATAGACATGCATATCGTCCGACAGACATGCATACTGACCGACCGACAGACATACATACAGACCGACAAACAGACAACATACCAACAGAGAGAAAGACATACATACCGACAGAAATACAGACAAACAGACAGACAGGCATGCATGCAGTTTGGCAGGTGGTAGGTAGGTAGGTAGGTAGGTAGGTCGGTAGGTAGGTCGGTAGGTAGGTCGGTAGATATGTAGATGGATAGATGGATGGATGGATGGATGGATGGATGGATGGGTGGATGGATGGATGGATGGATGGATGGATGGATGGATGGATAGATGGATGGATGGATAGAGTAGGTAGGTATGTAGGTAGGTAGGTAGGTAGATAGGTAGGTAGGTGGGTGGGTGGGTAGGTAGGTAGGTGGGTGGGTGGGTGGGTAGGTAGATACGTAGGTACGTAGTTAGGTAGGTAGGTAGGTAGGTAGGGAGGGAGGGAGGTAGGTAGGTAGGTAGGTAGGTAGGTAGGTAGGTAGGTAGGTAGGTAGGTAGGTAGGTGGGTGGGTGGGTAGGTAGGTAGGTAGGTAGGTAGGTAGGTAGGTAGGTAGGTAGGTAGGTAGGTAGGTAGGTAGGTAGGTAGGTAGGTAGGTAGGTAGGTAGGTAGGTAGGTAGACAGATAGACAGACAAACAGACAGACAAACAGACAAACAGACAGACAGATAGAATGCTTCCTTGAATAGTTTCGCAAAAGGTTTCTTTTATTGGGTAAACTTTATCTATACATATTTAAAAATTAGTGTATGTGTGTAAGTCCCGTATGCGCTTCTATACCATTCAAACACTTGTGAGTTGTTGTACACACGCCCGCAAATGTTTCTGAATTCTTACAAACATTTTACAATATTCCATTTTAGGCCCAGTGCCCTTATTTCTTTTTTTTGGTCCTTTTATGAGCTACATATAATGTCCGTATGCTTCCTATGCCATTCATCCGATTGCAATAAAACTAGTATACCATAAAACATAACCTTGTCATATTGTGGGCGATTTGTTAAAAAGTTCAGTATCCATCCTTGAATATTTAAATTCACACATAAGGCATTGATAGAGTTAAATGTTGATGGGAACTCTAGGAAAAGCACCCTAGCATAGTTTAGGGCTGTCTAGGTGATTGTCAAGTCTACGTTTGGCACCAAACCCCCACCCCCCAAATCACTTTTTTTATGCATGTTTAAGAAAAAAATAATAATTTGGTATCAGTACCTAGATAGCAGACAATCAAACGTAGCAGAAAAGAAATAAGGAAAAAAAATATTAATTCATTCGTTTAAAACTAACAATAGAAATATCAATCATAATCTGACAATGCTTATTTAAATTGATATGCACCGTTGCGCCTCCAGTAATAATTAATTCAACAAGCCGGCCAAGCTTCGGTTACCCCCCCCCCCCCTCCCTTAATCAAGACGCTGAAAAAAAGTTCCTGCTTCTGTTATTTTATTTTTACTTGTTTAATTATCTATTTATTTTTGGCCACGGAAGTTTTTTTGAGCCAATTGATTTATTGTTTCTTTGTACTTGTTACGTTCCGTTATTTGGCTTCACCAATTTCATCTGTTTTAAGATTGGGCTCGTTAGATGAACGATGCGTAACAAAGGACTGAACAGTCAGTATGCAAAGAAACATGATACCAAAGCTAAATATAGACACTAGGGAAAGTGGGAACATTAGAGAATTAACAATGCGATCAACTTGGTTATGCTAATAGAACTCCACCGACAGCCTCCAATTTGAACACATGCCCGCATGACCAGCGTCCCGCACCAAGAAGCACACGTGCCAACAAACACATGACACGCATTGTCATCGGTGGTGTGTGTGTGTGTGAAGCTTTTCAGGATAATGCTGTGAAGTTATAAAGGGGGGTCTTTGAAATCTAATAATATCTGATGTATCAAATTTAATAAGCACTGCATATTCTAACGTACAAGAGGCCTTACATAATCATGTAGTCTCATCAGTTACCAAAACCTCTACACTTAACTAATGTATCTACAAATCTACATTACGGATGGCACATGCATGTTTTCAGCACACCCAGAATAAGTTTGACCGGGTGGGTGTCCCGACACGTCTTGGCGAGTGTCCCGATACGTCTAGGCGGGTGTCCCGACACGTCTTGGCGAGTGCCCGACACGTCTTGGCGAGTGTCCCGACACGTCTTGGCGAGTGTCCCGACACGTCTTGGTGAGTGTCCCGACACGTCTGGGCGGGTGTCCCGACACGTCTTGGTGAGTGTCCCGACACGTCTGGGCTGGTGTCCCGACACGCTTTGGTGAGTATCCCGACACGTCTGGGCGGGTGTCCCGACACGGCTTGGTGAGTGTTCCGCCACGCCTGGGCGGGTGTCCCGACACGTCTGGGCGGGTGTCCCGACACGGTTTGGTGAGTGTCCCGACACGTCTGGGCGGGTGTCCCGACACGTCTAGGCGGGTGTCCCGACACGTCTTGGCGAGTGCCCGACACGTCTGGGCTGGTGTCCCGACACGCTTTGGTGAGTATCCCGACACGTCTACGACACGTCTGGGCCGGTGTCCCGACACGGTTTGGCGAGTGTTCCGACACGTCTGGGTGGGTGTCCCGACACGTCTTGGCGAGTGTCCCGACACGTCGACACGTCTTGGCGAGTGTCCCGACACGTCGACACGTCTTGGCGAGTGTCCCGACACGTCTGGGCGGGTATCCCAACACGTTCTGGCGAGTGTCCCGACACGTCTTGTCGAGTGTCCCGACACGTCTGGGCGAGTGGATAGTTACCAGACAAGAGCAACAGCAACCGAAGACAACTTTTAATGATTGACTTTTATGTTTGATGCTAAACAAACGAATGACCGGATGCAAACCTTTGCTTACTTTCGTCAGTAAATCTGTTTCTATATACGAGCAGGGGCGTATATCTCCCCCGACTGGTCGAAGCCAAACGTCCGCTCCCCCTCCCGTGCAAGCGCCCCTTCAAACAAGCAACTGGTTGTGGTCATTTGCCTATCCCCATTTCGAGGCGTAGGGTCAAGTGCTTTGTTAAAAATCTCCTGATCTTTATATTATAATGCTACCGGGTCTTTGTGTTATCGTGCTATTGAACTTGTGTGTACTTTAACTTATTTTGGTCTTTGCTGTGCACTTAGTTCCATCAGCAACAAGAGGTGTTAAGTGTTTTATCATTGGCCACTACATTAGACACTTGAGTGATGTGACTTCGTCAGTTGCAGTGTTAAGTGTCAAGAGGATGATACCGTTATAACAATACGTCATATTTTTAATTGAATGTGTTTGTAGCGTGAAAATGTGCACTATTAGGTCATATTGATTAGGTCATATTAATTAGGTCATATTGATTAGGTCATATTGATTAGGTCATATTGATTAGGTCATATTTATTAGGTCATATTGTTTAGGTCATATTGATTTATGATCTCGGTGTGCACCCCATGTTTGTATCACCATTCTGTTGTCTAGGTGATACGGGTCTATTTGTTTGTTGTTTGATTTGTTTGTGCCACGTCAGCTCAGTGTGTCCGTCAGTTGACTCCATTTGGCACTGACCTTAGCCATCGGCCTTTCGGGAGTGTGTTAAATGTAACAATGTTTAATTGTGCTTTAGTTCGTGGAGTTATGGGGGGTTAACTTCGTCAGGCTGTCAAGTCAGTTGCTTGTCATTTTGGAGTGCTCGCGTGTGACCCCCATTGGTTTCCCTCGGTACAGGATAAACATTGACTACAACTGTTCGGTTGAGGTCCGGTAAGCCCTCTAAACCATTTGTTTCGTATCTGTATTTACGAAGCACCACAAATAATTCTTTTGTAAGTGGATTTGTTTATCTTTAAATCATTTTATTGCGATGCACCAGTGAACATTTCGATACAACATTTAAAGGTTGAAAACAGATGACTTTATGATAAATGTAAGATGACTGCAGTAAAGAGCATGATGATATGTAATACTTCTTTGTTGTTTGTCTCATACATTATCTGAAAATATATACGATATTTATCATCCAAAGACAGCGGGTAAAGCTATGGACTATTCGAACTTTGAACAATTTTGCGGGAATTCTCCATTCTGGGTAAGTGGAAAAATAAAGTTATAATAAAAAGTATGATTTGAAAATAAGAATGAAAATCGAAACAATTAAATCTCACTTTTTACATTTTATATTCAAACCATTAATTTTTATTTTTAATAATAATAATTAAATTGTTTCTGTCATGATCAAAATCAGGGGTGTAATTGACTTTTGCGGTCTTGTGGGTGGGACAACCACTATGTGGGACAAATACTACGTGGGACAACCACTATGTGGGGCAATCACTATGTGGGACAAATGCTATGTGGGACAAACACCATATGAGACAACCAGTATGTGGGACGAATACGATGTGGGATAACCGCTATATGGGACAACCACCATGTGGGACAACCACCATGTGGGACAACCACCAAGTGGGACAACCACCCTGTGGGACAACAAGTATGTGGGACAGCCACTATGTGGGATAGCCACTATGTGGGACAGCCACTATGTGGGATGGTCACTATGTTATGAGATCTTCCCGCATCAATACACATCTTGAATCTTTGAACTGTTGTTGTTTATTTTTCTTTTCACATGGGGCCCGGTGGTGGCATCTAAAGTTTTAAAAAAACACTATAAATTGAACTTGAATTCGTATAATTATGTTTGGTTCTTTTCGAATGAATTTTAGAAATGTTAAAAAATCCAAGGCAACAAGAATTTAGAAATTAAAATTCAGTCCAGAACACGTCACAGGCCCAAATGGCGTATTCGTTTGAAGACATTTCAAATTATGGTCCAATAACAACCAGCATGTAACCACTAAATTTATGACTTTTAAAATTATGGTCCAAAAGCAACCAGCATGTAACAACTAAATTTATGACTTTTAAAATTATGGTAAAAAACAAGGATGTAACCACTAAATTTATTACTTTTAAAATTATGGTCCAAAACAACAAGGATGTAACCACTAAATTTATGACTTTTAAAATTATGGTCCAAAAACAACCAGCGTGTAACTAATTTATGTCATATTTTAATCCTCATTTTTGGGGAATACGAAATCTTCATTTTAACGTAGCTTAATTTTCATACATAATATCGGTCTTTGATGAAATCATTCTTTTTAAAATTCACCAGAATGACTCTCTTTTGTCTGATGACTCCTACCCTCACTTCACGGAATGTTTTCGACAAGTTGCTTTGGCCTGGATCCCATGCCTCGCTTTCCTAGCGGGGGCGCCCTTTTACCTGGCCTACCTCCTGAAATATGACCAGCATCCGCCCCTGCCGTTGTCCGCCCTGCACTTGGTCAAAATTGTGAGTATGTGATTGTTTGCTGAGGTTTAAAACCAGTTCCAACTTGATCGGTCAGAGAGCTGATGCTCAATAAGCATCTCTGCGGCTCACAATAAGACCTGATAGATGCAACCAAACCTTATGTTATAGTCCTGCTTTGACTACGTACTTGTACATTAAGTTCTTACAAATTAATCTCTTGATCGAAAGAACACTAGTACCCAGTATTTCGAACTCAGCACTTAAATTAAAACAAGTCTCGTTATATTTCATTCTCCATCACCAGATCTGTTCCCTGGCATTGATAGTCGTCACGGCAGTCAACTTGATTGTCAGTGGAACATATGATGACCGAGATAATGTCACGGATGCTCTCTATGTCTCTGAGGGTCTGAAGGTCTTTTGCTTTGTAAGTGTGGGAAATAGTTTAAGTTTTTTAATATATTTTTTTCTTTAATTTCAGTTTTAATGCCCTAATAAAATATAAATAGTTAAACAGGGATCAGTGTCATATTCTCTGTCATGGAACTCTGATGATTTATATCTGTCTTTTTTTTTTTGTCAGAAAATATGCAAAGGATATTGCGACATTTTTTAAAAATCTAAAGTGATTAACTCTATTCTCTGACTGAAATCTACAATAAGATATTCATGAACACTCTGTTTTAGCAAAACGATGTAATTTTATAATCACTCATAAGCTTTACTGCTTGCAAGTGACGAGTTTGGTAAAAAAAAATCTGTTACAGACCAATGACCAAAATCATCAAACAAAAAAACAAAAAAAACATACAGCTTACATTTGCCCGCGGAATTATTTAAAAAGTAATAGTATTCTGACACGGGAGCTGATTTTTTTTAAAATCATCCACGTCCTCCTTGATAAGGCTGAAATGTATCTCTTAATTTTTTTTTTCCAAGGTGATGTCCATTGTCGTGTCCTGTCTAGAGCGTCAGAAGGGTGTCACGACATCGCCCTTTTTGTGGTCATATTGGATTGTCATGGTCACGGTGTCTGTGGTCCCTTTCTATAGTAACATTATAGAAAACGTGAGGAGCCTTGATTTTGCCATTTAATTAACAACTGGTATTTTTAGTGACCGCATCTTTTTATCCCCCTGTCGTAAATACCTTTTTTTTTTAATCTACTTACAAGTATTTAAATGCTTTTTTTTTTTAAATGATAAAACGGCAACACTAATTTAAACATTTCAATAAGTCATGAACAGTCCCTCGTTAAGACTCTGTCGTTCTATATGATGATACGTTAACTCAAGCCATTATAAGCAAGATAATGAAAGAGACGACCTCAGACGGTATTTATTATTTTATAGAGCAGCTCTCTTATATGACAGTGTGGCAACATCTCTCGACATTCAGCTTAACTTTGATCAAATCTGTGCGCAATGTCTTCCTCAGTTACAAGACACAGACACGTTCGGCTTTACACAGTTCTACGTGTACTTCGGCTTTCTGACTCTTCAGTTTATTCTGTCGTCATTTGCTGAGAACCAATCGGAGAATGTGACACATTCCAATGTATGTATGAAAACATTCAATGCACCAGTGTTTAGGACCGACATGTAAAAATATAGGGATACTTCAATTTGTAACGATGCATCAATTTATGATTTTTTTTAAATGATAAATCACTTAATAGGGATATATCAATTCATATGGATAGTACACTTATATGGATATATCAATGTATAGCAATACAGCAATTTTTAAATGATAGATCAATTTATAGAGATATATCCATTTAAAGTCCATCCATTTATAACGATACATAATTTTAATGAAAGATCAATTTATAGTTGTTTTTGTCCCATAGGAATAATTCAATTGGACTCGCTGGGAATTAATGGAAAGTAATTTATCAATTTTTTTAGTTGGGCAAAAGTCGACTTTAGAGTTTTGAGATTTAAATTTGAGTTGACAATAAAAATCAAATGAAATTTCTTGACAAGATGCATCTCAAGTCTTTGGTTGTGATAATACAAAATACAGTTGTTGTTTTTTCTTGATATTTTCTTCAAATTTTATATTTTTATTTTTAGAATCCAAGTCCAGAAGTCGTGGCATCATTTCCAAACAAACTATCTTTTTGGTGGCTAACAAGGTAGGACTAAATATGGAATAGTGGCTGACATTGTCATCATCATCATTGGCACCACAGCCACTGTAGAGCCCTGGTCTGCTCAATCACTTCTTTCCATTCTGACATCATCATTAGTGGCTCTTCATCCCATGCAGGACCATGGCCTGCTCTACCACATCTTTCCATTCCGTAAGATCCATGAATTTTCGCCACCATGCGTGGGCCCCCAGTTGATAAAAGTTCTTTTCTACATTGTAAATCCACCTCAGTCTTTGAAGACCGGTGAGTCTTCTGCTCCTAGGTCTTTAGGCCAAGGCCCTAGTTCTGCCTGTAAATCACTTTTGCTGCTCTAAAATCCGGCCTTCTCTCGGCATAGTCTGCTTTTTTTTAAAAAATTATTGTTGCGACTATTGGGGGGAGGGGGGGGCTGTCCTTGAATAATAAACTTGAAATATCACTTGGTTTGTTCGAAATCTCTATCCATCATTGTCTAACACAGGACCGTATATTTTCCTTGAATTTTCTTCTCCCATGTGTTAGGTAGATTCTCTGTTTATATGGGAAAAGACCACGTCTCAATTGGGTTACTTACAAGTGGTCTTATAATAGGGATGCATATTGCCTTCTTTGTTCTCCTTGAGAGGTGTTTTGCTTCTAGGTAATAATCTTAGCCTGCAAAAAAGAACGGTTGCCTCTTTTTACCCCCTTCCTTCAACTATATCATTATTTTTAAAAGTTATTCTATCCCAGATATTTGAAAGTGACCACGCTCTCAACGTTGTGGTTGGTTTATTTTGATGTTGTCACCAGAAAGAGTGTTTCATAACGTTATCAGATATTTTGACTTCGTTTCATTTACCTGAAGACCTGCTTTGACCGAGACATCTTCAAGTTCCAAGTTCCCTGAATGCTTTAATTATTCATTGCTATTTCTGCCGAGTAGCGCTATGTTGTCACCATATGCCAGGTATTGCAATGGCTGGCTCTATAAAGTTTATGGTGATTGTGTTTCTGTACAGTTTCTCCGGAAGTAATATGTGATGGTTCCACTGCTGTTCACATGCAGGTTGCTCATGCCTTTTTCTAATTTTCCTAATGTGATGTTGAACATGATACATGATAATGAATCTCTTTTCTAAGACCCTGATTAATGGGGAACTCCCTCAAATATTCTCTCTTTTCTTTGATTCAACTTGTGTGGTTTGCCATCGTCATATGTATCAGCCGGGTAAATTTAGATCTTTTTTGTGAATTGGGATTATGAGCGCATTAAACCCTTTTTTATTTTTATTGTTTAAACTTCTTCCTCCTGCCAGATTCTGGATATAAGGTCGTTTATTTGCATATGCAGTTCATGTCTGCCTAGTTTGATCAGTTCTGTAGTAATAAGATCTCTTCCTGGGGCGCTCTTTACTATTCGTCACATTTTTTGTTTCATTGAGTGTTGGTTGGCTGACCAAAGCGTCCGATCTAACTTGTAATAGATCGTAATCCTCAATGTCATTCCTTCAAAGTGTTGTGCCCATCTCTCTAATAAACCACCGCTCTCTAGTACTCTACTGCTCTCCAGTACCCTACTGCTCTCTAGTACCCTACTGCTCTCTGTTAACAGTTCTCCGGTCATACTTTCACACATATGTGATATTGTTTGAAAGCCGTTCATGTTCTGAGTTATCTTTAGACACATTCCCCTCACATCTCTTTCTTTTACCAACTCTTCTATCTCAGCTGAATTTTTTGTACTTTTCCCAAACTTTTTTTTCTTTCAACAAATGTTGGTAGCCAACCTTCTTGTTTCATTAGATATTTATCGTCTTCTTCTTATCTCCACTCACAGTATCATGACTCAGTCTTGATTCTTTCTTCTATAAGTTCTCTGCATTCTGATAAGTGTTTATTTTTAATTTGTTTTCTTGTGTTACTCTTTGTTCGCTGACGAAGGCTTCTTGCCGACATGTTCGTTGTTTTATTTTTTCAGGTTTCTCCATACCTTGTTTCATATATTTCCTTGACTGAACTGAGAGGTCACACAAGAAAGGCATTAATGTAAAATGTGTGAAATAACAACTTATGATTTATAAAACTATATAATGACAATGAAAATAGCCGGTTCACATATCTTTACAGTCTTATTATCAAAGGCTACAGGAAAACGCTCGTAGAGGAAGACGTCTATGACCTGGCACCCACTGACACTTGCGGGGCTGTCATACCACCATTTGAGAAGGCCTGGGGGGAAGAACAGGCAAGAGTGGATGCCTACAATAAGAAAATGAGGTAATTTTGTTTTATTATTTACATACATGGCAGAGATTTTAATTTATTTGTCATTATTATAGTTATTTGGCTACATAAATAAAACATTAAATCATTAGAATACCGAGAAGGACAACATGGTTTGCAGGCCATTAGCGTAAGTTAAAAATTGACAACATGGTTTGCAGGCCATTAGCCAAATGACTCATTAGGGTAAGTTAAAAATTGACAACATGGTTTGCAGGCCATTAGCTTAAGTTAAAAATTGACAACACGGTTTGCAGGCCATTAGCGTAAGTTAAAAATTGACAACATGGTTTGCAGGCCATTAGCTTAAGTTTAAAATTGACATCATGGTTTGCGGGCAATTAGTTATAGTAAGTTAAACCATGTTGTATGGTTTGCTGGCCAACAACGTACATCCAACAGCGGCAATGGGGTTTCCCCTATTATTTTTTTAATGACCAGATAAGCGCTGTCTGTGTTAGATTACTGTACAAATATTTCCCTGTTTTCATATTGTGACGACAACTGAACATGTTTTACAACCTGCAGGTCTAGAGTGGAGGCAGTGCTAGATAAAAGAAAACTCTCCACACAAATGATTCCCCTTGTCAATGTGAAAGCCACGGGAAAAAGTTCATCGAACTCAAAGGATGACCCAGTCAAAGATGCCCAATCAGCCTACAAGTGTCCATCACTTTTAAGGGTGCTGGTCAAGGTCTATGCTCCACTATTACTGTCTGCTCAAGTGAGTCTAATTTAAGCATCAAAGGAATTGGCTTTCCAAATGTATATCCTGATGGAAGGGGTCAAGGTCACATAATTTCAGAAACTTTGTCTTTCTTTAATGGAATTTTTTTTTAATGATGTAGGCGTAGGCTTACATTTTTTTTTATCAAGTTTTCCTATTTCTTAAGATTTGAACATTTATTAACATGTCTTCCTTTAAAACAGTTGATAAAAACGATTGCTGACTTGCTGACTTTTGCTACACCAAAAATAACAGAGTAAGTTGAGCTTTAATGGATGGGAGGGTTTATGAGAGGGTCGATACGTGTAAGGTTAAGATATAGGATATATTTTTATATATTTAATTTATCAAATATAATTACGTGCAATAGATTTGGTCCAGTTTTTCAATTATTTCTCTCTCAAAGGGATAAGAATTTACCCAAAGCTGGTGAATTCTTTTCCTGGAAAACTATGAAAACTTTATAAAGCTATATTGATTTTTTTTCATTTAGGTACCCTTAAATGATTTAGTTAATAATTTTTAAAGATAATTTACACTAAACCTACACCACCAATTATTTTGAATTAGAATGGTAGGCCTATATTTAAAAAACTTAACAAAAAAGTTTGCAAAATGAAAATGTGCAATTTAAAAATAGAGATAATGGAAGCATTATTTTATTCTATGAAACTAGTTTAACGTGCAATCAGTTGCATGTTTCGGAAGTGTGTTAAAATCTCTTACTAATAACTCTTTCTATTTATTTATATAGAATAAATATACTCCCTAATGAATTCGTGTTTTTCTACAGATCATTGCTCGATTACATAGCCAATAAAGACACAGAGAGACCATGGAAAGGTTATGTTTTAGCTACGTCCTATTTTGTTGTCCAAACTCTGGCATCTGTTGGATCTAATCAGGCCATATTGGCAATGAAAAGGATGGGCATGAAGGTCAAGGCTGCAATAATAATAGCTATTTATAAAAAGGTGAATTCAGTGAAGTTTAATGATGTTTAATTCAATTATTTTTTAACCCCTGATCAGATGCTCTGAAGGTGAAAGGTCGCCAAACAAGGGCAAATAATAACATTTCAATAATTTAATTTTCAAAGGGTATTGGTCATATTATACTCTATTAGTTTTTTAATGGAACCAGGAGCAACCATGCTTTACAATGATAATGATATTAATATTCAATAATTTTACATTTTTTTATTATAAGGCTGTCTACAGTATTTTTTATTGATATTCTTTACCAGCTTCAACACAACCAGTCATATAAAGCTTAAATAGTAGATATTGATCATTACTAAAGATAAGCAAACCTAATTTAGTATTTTTGATGTTACACTGTTATGATTAATTTTTGCAGTCACTAACTATTTCCAATATTAATGATGAGGCCAAAACTGGTGAAATAGTCAACCTGATGTCTGTAGACAGTCAGAAAGTTGAGGATGTCTTTAACTTTATGTATTTTATTGTCTCCACTCCTGTGCAGGTGAGTCTTTATGTTACTGCATTGGTATTTGTTTGTATTAGTCCTTACATGTAGAATTATGTTGAAAGAAAAATGTAAAGAACTGTACTTGGCAATCAGCTTGAAGTCAAAAAAGAATGTCTTCCAAATGAGCTGGAGGGAAATATCACATGCTATGGGAGCCTAGATAATTTTTACCATCTATGCAATTTCAGAAGAAATACAAAATTCTTAAGTATCAATGAAAATCTATCTGTTTATGTCTATGTGTTGGACATTTCTCATCAGTGCCATTTGTTAAGAATTTATTTAAGCATAACACCAATTGAACTTTTTTTTTGCAAAACTTAAAGAACAAAATCAAGTTTTAATCTCTCAGTACAATCATTGTGCTTGCAAACTTAAAGAACAAAATCAAGTTGCAATCTCTCAGTAGAATAATTGTGCTTGCAAACTTAAAGAACAAAATCAAGTTTTAATCTCTCAGTACAATCATTGTGCTTGCAAACTTAAAGAACAAAATCAAGTTGCAATCTCTCAGTACAATCATTGCGCTCTTACACTTTCTAGAAAATGTGTTTATCCAGCCTTGGAATCTTACCTTTGATAAATGACTTTTCATGTTAACAATATCAATTGCAGAATATTCTGTCACAATCAAAGAACTTTTCTTTTCATTTCAAGCTAGGCCTGTCCTTATGCATGTTGTATTAATCAAAGAACTGTTCTTTTTGCTTCCAGCTAGGCCTGTCATTATACATGTTATATGATCAGCTTGGTGTGGCAGTTTTTGCTGGACTGGGTGTCATGACTCTGTCTTTTCCTTGTAATGCTGTGATTGGCCATTTCATGAGAAAATACCAAATAAAACAGATGAAGCTTAAGGATAAAAGAATGAAACTCGTGGCTGAGGCTCTGTCAGGGATAAAAGTAAAGTGTCTTTTATGCTTTAGGAGAATTTTTTCAATATATTTTTAAAGAAACTGATGGAAATTTTTATAAATCTTTTTGAGCATATAGTATCAAAAGGATAACAGCTAAAATATGTTAAAATAGTTAATCTTATATTTATTATAGTTTTTTTGCTTCATGTTAAAATATTCAAAAATAAAAGTATCAGTGCAGAAAAAATGTGAAATTTAATTAACAAATATTAGTTGCAAAAATTGTTTATATTTTGAAAAGGCCTTCTAACAATCTATATGTCTATATTCTATAATACATGCTTGTTTTGTTATCTCCAAATCTCCAAGTAGATGTTTTATTTACTAAATAATAATTTATTTGTTTTATTTTGATGAAGGTTATCAAATTATATGCATGGGAAGAATCCATTGAGCAGAAGGTGGAAGTCATCCGCAAGAAAGAATTGGGAATAATCAAGAAATTTTCTTACATAATTGCAGCTATTTACTTTATATTCAACACAATGCCCTATTTGGTAGGTTAAGTGGTCTTAAGAAGAATTAAATTGTCTAACAGGGCTAGTCATAATATCAAAGTGTATTTCTAGATCAAAGACAATGAAATTTCTGACATAAAATGTATTTATTTCTATACAGGTCCAGCTGACATCATTTTGGGTATATATAGCTATCTCTGATGATGGTTACTTGAGTCCATCTACCGCATTTGTATCTATGCAGCTATTTAATCTGCTCAATTTTCCCTTGTCTTCCATGTCGGTTATCATACCAATATTTGTACAGGTAATTGACATTTGGCGTAAATGTTATAGATTTCAGGGGGAAAAAAACCTTCAAAAAGGAGCAACATAGGCCTACGATATATGTTTTTTTTATAGATTTGTTTATTATTTCATAAACTGGAATCAGGCTGGACAGGAATAATTTTATTTAGCATAACAATAAAAAAAATATAAACCTAATACTGATGAATTGAGGTTAAATTTGTTACATGGACTAAATTTCCCTTTACAGAGCATTAAACCACACTAAACATGTTAGTTTATTTCATTTGTATTTTTAAGAAAAAATAGTGTTTGTTTTATTTTTGTTAGGAATAATGAATATTTTAAATTCTGGAATAAATTCTCAGGCTGGTGTTGCCATCACCCGTCTAGGTAAATATCTCAACAATGAAGATATGAAACCAGACATGATTTGGAGAGATCCTCAAGCAGGTACCAATATCAATTTTAATATTGATTTTAAAATAAACTTTATTACTAATATATACTCTGTTGTTTATTCTAGCAACAATAATAAGATATTGAAAAGCAAATTTTAAATTTCAGAATATGCAGTCCAAATAATGAGTGGTGAATTTACTTGGCAAAAAGGAAATGAAATACCCACCTTAAGAAAGTAAACGTTTCATTTACCAAAGTTTCATTGCTCTTTACATATCTGTCAAATTTCTTAATAACTTAAGTTATTGAGGCTTAAGGCACTACTCTAGAGTAGCCATTACGTCACCCTGTCACTTATTTCTCTATGTCAATGTAAAATGTTACTAAGCAACTGGACATTTTTTATTTTAATGCATTATAATTTTTAAATCATGTTTTTCATAGAATTGTATCTTTAAGTTTTATAATGCAATTTAATAAAATTTATAGGTTAGTTGTTCTCAGAAAATCAGTCTCCAATAACAAAATGTGTTTTGTTCAACAGCATAAATTTAGAAGTGAAACAAGGAAGTCTGGTGGCCATTGTCGGTTCAGTTGGTTGTGGCAAGTCTTCTTTACTGTCAGCCATCTTGGGAGAAATGGAGAAACTGAAAGGAAGTGTTATCATTAAAGTAAGATAAAAAAACAAAACATTTCCTACATGGCATATGGCAATAATTTTAAAAAACTTTAAATATTATATTTATTGAGGGAAGGTAGACTTCACTCACAGATTTGGGTATAGTATATTCTAACTAAAATTTCATTACTTTTTATTTAGGCCAACAAAAGACAAGAAGATTTTTAACTTAGCTCAAGAATATATTTTATTTCAGCCAACTTAATAAATGAATTTTTTTTTAATTATTTTTTAACCACTATACGACACTAATTTTGAGACAACTGATGAAAAGATAGATAACTCAACGCTGTAAGAACAAACACTATACAACAAAGACAGGCAACTGATCAATATGTAAGGTGTGCAGTAGAATGACCACACTCCTCTATACTCTTTGTCCTGTTGCTGACTACTAGGCTTTATATCTTGAGAAGGGGGCCAAATCCCATGAAGCTAAGATAATAACCACAGCTGAGACACGCAGGCTTGTCCGAAAGAGCAACATTAGGTCATCGTCTGAAGCAACTATTCCATGCCCACGGTGTCATAGATTATTCCGAGCAAGGATCGGTCTAACAAGCCACCTAAGAGCTCACCGTAATCCCAACCCCCCCGCCCGCCCCTAACCGGATGATTCGATGGTCCTTGTCGACTTCGACGGACGAACAACAACATATCTTGAGAATATAAAAGTTGTTTTTTTACATGTCTGTTGAAACAAATGGAAATTATTTAAGATAAATTAGAAAATTTATTCCACATTATTTTTTGGTTTCTTCAATATTAAGCATTAAAGCATCATTATGTTTTTTTAGAATTCAATAGCATATGTGCCACAAGAAGCTTGGATACAGAATGCCACACTGAGAAACAACATTCTGTTTGGAGTAGAATTCAATCAAGAGATGTACAATAAAACTATTGAAGCATGTGCATTGACTGCAGACTTGGAGATTCTTTTAAGTGGGGATTCAACTGAAATTGGAGAAAAGGTTTCTAAAAGATTTCATTTGCCAAAATATGGAATTATTTATTTGATTTCATAAATAAGCCTGGTATCTATTGACTAACTTAATTTTTAAGACCTGTACTAATTATTTATTTTGACTTACATGTCATTGCATTTCTAAGGGTATCAACATTTCTGGTGGACAGAAACAGCGCGTGTCATTAGCCAGGGCCGTGTACAGCAACAATGACATCTACCTGTTGGATGACCCACTTAGTGCGGTTGACAGTCATGTGGGAAAACACATCTTCCAGAAGGTCATTGGGCAAAATGGAGTTTTAAAGGATAAGGTTAGACTAGAATGGAATTTTATTCTTGAAAATAATTTTGGATTACGAAGTCCCAAAACATGATTGGAAACATTTATCAAGTGCAATTATCTCACACATGAATTTTTTTCCCTTTTTGAGGTAAAAATAATATTTTACATAAAATAATTTATCCTGAAATTTAAAAGCTGTGTATTATTTTCTTGTAAGGCTACAATTACTTTATTTTGATTGTTATTTTTAAACATTTCTGATATGATTAAAAATAATGCATAGTTTTTTTTCTTTCTCATAAGTATGGACAAAATAGATTTGAAGGAGACAGGGGACATCAATGTGGTATTTCTAAAATTTTATCATCATTCCAGTTTAAAATATTATTTTTTGCAGACTCGTATTCTTGTGACCCATGGTATCCACTGGCTACCAATGGTGGACACAATCATCGTCATGTCCAATGGGACCATCAGTGAGGCTGGGACATATGAAGATCTATTAGCAAGGAATGGAACCTTTGCTCAGTTTCTGAAAGAATATGTGCAGACAGATATGAACACAGACATGGAAAATGATCCAGAGAGTAAGTCCAGGGACTACTCTTCTTTAATAACATTCAAAGAGTTCTGTGAGCTCATTAAAATTTTCAAACTATCCTAGGCCAGGAGATTAATCAATAATTATTCTACCAATTAAATCATTAATTTTTCCCCAGTTAAAGCAATGAGGAGGTCAATATTCAAGAGATTTGAAGCCACAGAGAATGAGGATGAAAGTGTTTCATTGCCTGAAGAAGAGGACAGGTAACATTTTAGATGTGGCTGTTTATCCTGTGCTGTTATTTTATATTGTTATAAAAGTAACACCACTACTTAAAAATATACATTGAAATAGAATACATATTTTAGTTCAATTGTTAATTATGAAAAAATATTTAGTATAGGTCTTTTTGGCTAATTTTTTATTTTATTTAATCGAATATTTTTTTAAAGGTTTATTTTTGTTCAACACAATTTTTTTCTGTATGGAAGAAAAAAATTTTCCAATGGTTGATTTATAATATAATAATCACAGTTGGAACATGTTGCTTTTGCAAGAGCTAACTAAAGTTTACTGTCAATTATTGGTTTATGATTTCCCACATCATACAATTGTCAAACTGCATTTTTTTATTTCTTCCATCATAAGTAAACTTTCAGAAACAGTAGTGAAGGACAAGTTTGAAAATATGAAGGAATCATCTGTAGATGAACCAGCCATTGCATTACTTGCACCTGCAGGAGAAAAATTGATTGAAAATGAGCTTGGAGCAACTGGCAAAGTTTGTATCAATTAAATGTTGTACTTAGAAGTAATCAATTGAAAATGACATTTATTTAATAAAATCAAAATTATGTGGTCTGTATTTTGTGTCATTGGGACTCTAAGCAGGAAAATATTTTGTTCTAATTGAATTTAATTAATTTAAATGATATTTACTTTTATATCTTGAAGCCAATTTCATACATGTAAATTACATTATAGTTCTTAACTATATTAATATGCATTTTTCTATTTGGGACATTTTGTGAACCACTTAGCAATCAATATAAATGAATATTAAACTATTTTTTAACTATACTAAATAGTATTAGGATATTGTAACGATTGTCCAACTTCAGTTCTCATTTGTTAGCTGTACTAAATAGTATTGGGATATTGTAATGATTGTCCATCTTCAAGTGTCAGCTGTTTGTTCATGCTTACTTCAAATTACTTTAAAAGGTATGTTGATGTACTAACAGCTGAATATCTGTCTCTGCATTTGCTGGATATAAACACAGACTATCAGACAGAATATCAGAACACTTTGGAGCAGCCACACTAGCTACACTAACTCCACTATATCTCTTGACTTTTGAGACCATATATTTTTTGTGGGTGTGTTTCCGATTCTCACATAATGAGATAGTTCTAACTTACTACATTCAGGTCAAGTTTTCCATTTACATGCACTACTTCAGGGCCATTGGCCTGCTACTGTTTACATTATCCCTGGTCATCTATGCCGCATATACAGCTGCTTCTGTGTTTTCTGGTAAGTAAAAGTCTTTAACGAAATATAATTTTTTGCCCTTCATAGAATGTGAGATGGGTTTTTGTGTCATTATTTTTATCGATGATTTTCTCATTACAAATAATTAACTTGTAAATAATGCAACTGTGAAATTATAATTACCTGTCATCACATATTCTTCCGCATTTGGCTCTAAATCATTTTTTAAAATATCATGCAAGGATATGCACATTTATAGTTATTATGCAATGAAATAAATATAGGCTATGGAATCTGAAAATTTTACTTGACAAAATGGGAAAAGGAAACCTTAATGAAATCTTTAAAAAAAAAGGATTAATATATTATCCATTGTAATTTATATATTGAAATTGCTATAAGCTAATGCTTTATCAAAGGTTTGCTCTTTTTGTGCTGGGTGGCCGAATGGTCCAAATTGAGCAAATCTTAAGTTGATGGTCTGTAGTTCAATACCCACCAAATCCCAGTCAAGCAAAAACATCATCAGCTGAATTCAAACCCGTTGGCAGATAACATTGGTAAAATGAAACATTCTGACAACTCCCGCAACACCACTGGTACCAAGCTGTATCATCCACATGACGTACCCTTGGGTTATCCAGTGGCATGGAGAGAGGCGATTTGCTGTTGGGAACCAGCTCTTAATCCTAGAAGACTAATCCCAGGCCTTGTGGATCTTGTCCTGCAAAGTCTACACCATCATCACCTTGTGACGGACGGATGCCGCCAGCCAATTCTTTGACTGAGAGTTATGGCATATTTATGAAAGTTCCTCTTCCAGCATCATCTCTTTGTTAATCTTTTAGGAATCTGGCTGAGCCTGTGGACTGATGATGAGCTGCTTCTCAACACATCTCGATCAGGAGAACAGGAATATGCAGACAGAGGCAATATGTACCTGGGAGTTTATGCAGCAAGCGGCATAGGCCAAGGTAGTTAGAACTCCAGCACTTAGATATGTGTGTACATACTAATATGGGTCTCAATGATTTGAGTTTTAAAAAGTGATCAAAAGAAAGATGAAGAATTAATTTATAAGTAGGATATAGATGGATGTATTTATTAGAGTATCATTTACAAAGATAAAAACACAAATTCTTTTTAAATAATGTAAGTATTTAAAGATTAGTTTTGGAAATGCATAGAGTTGTTTTCTAACCATTTATTTCAAAACAGAATCATTGCAACATCATAAACTGAGAAGCTTTTTGATTACCCAATAACATAAACCTATCAATTTATGTACACTTGTAAGGAAATTTGTCAAACAAACAATTGATAAGAAAATTAAACTTACATTTTAATGAATGCACCAACCGCAGATTGATTAAATGATAAAAAATGTCTTCACTTCAAAGCTGTAAAATATTTTTTAAAGAAAACAACAAACTTGTTTTATTTAATTCAGGATGTGCTGCTTATTCTTTACATTTTAGGTGTTTTAATTTTGGTGTTTGCCCTCATTGCTGCTGTGAAAATGACTGAAGCTGCTGGAAAACTTCACAAGGTACAACATTTTATTGGTTATTCCATCAATAAGGAAAGAAAAGTTTAAAAAATTTACAGATTTTTAAATTTTGGGAAAAAATAATTATTACTTGTAATAAAACATTCAAAAGTTTTATTGGAAATTATTCACTTAAAATGTGATTTCAGTTTATGTTGGAAAATATCCTAAGGTCCCCAATTTCTTTCTTTGAAACAACTCCAATGGGAAGGATCATCAACAGATTTTCTCGAGATGTTGACATCATCGACAACACACTTCCTGGAACTATGAAACAGGTGATTTGGCCCAATTGATGGAAACTAGCTTGTATTATAGATGTTTAGAGTAGATTGTATTATATATGATTAGATTAGATGTGTTATAGATGATTAAATTAGCTTATATTATAGCTGATCAGATCAGCTTGTATTATAGATGTTATTTAACACAAAATGAGATGCAAAAGTTACATGCACTTATCACTATGCTAGATAGCAGGTTATAGACTGAATTGATCCAATGCAAACTTCAGGAAACTCATGAAGAGATTAGTTTTGAAACATTGCACATTATTCCAGGCCACTGGTTATAATCTTGATCTACTTTCATTTTCAGGCACTCAACTGTTTGGGACGAGTACTAACTATTGTCATCATCATCTCTTATGGTACACCCATTTTCTTGAGCATTGCTGTACCTCTGTGCATTGTGTACATTGTTATCCAGGTAAAAGTATCATGCTAGGTAGAAGAACATGTATTACAATATTTTTATATATGTTATGACATGACATGGTCTGCTTCTGAAAAAACAAAGACACCATTTAAGGCTTTCCATTACATTAAGATATAAGTAAACTGTACCAAGGGCACACATTACAGTGGCTTAAGTATAGTTATACATATAATTTGAGATATGCAGTGCTACAATATAACATTCTTGTGAATACTTGGCTTATAATTAAAAAAAAAAAGAAAAATAAATGACCTCGGTTGCATCTTCAATTCTTAATAAATATTCATACAGCAGTAAGTTACTCAGTTAATCAAGAGCACAACAGTTTTTGAAGCCAATCAATGTAATCATATGACATATAATGTGTGACTTATATGTCATGTACTTCATATAATATTATGTCCTCTACATCGTACACATCCCAGGTGTCCTACATTCCCACCAGTAGACAACTGCGCCGCCTGGACTCCACCACCAGGTCCCCCATTTTGGCCCACTTCTCTGAGACTTTGACCGGTGCTTCGTCAATAAGAGCTTACGGTGTACAAGAAAGTTTCATTCAAGTGACAAAGTCAAGGGTAGACAACAACTTCAAGTTTTACTTTGCCAGCATTGGTGCCAACACGTAGGTTTAATTTGAAAATGTTGCTGCCAATACCTAGGTGTAATGTGTAAATGTTGCTACCAACTCATAGGTTTCATGTGAAAATGTTGCTGCCAACACGTAGATTTAATTTGAAAAGTAGAAATTTTTCAAAAGCAAATTTTTTATACAGATCTAGAGCTATTAATTTACTTAAGTCTTAGTCAAATATTTTCTGTGTAATAAATTAAGTGTGTTTATATTTTTTCAGGAAAGATTAATGCTTCTCCTCATCCATGTTTCAATGTTTTCCAAACAGATGGCTTGTTTTCCGTCTCCAATTCTTAGGTAACTTGGTCATCCTTGCAGCCGCCCTATTTGCAGTTGCCAGCTCAAATATTGAAGCTGGTATGGTTGGTCTATCTGTAACATATGCTGTACAGGTCAGTGTGGCTTACAGAGAATAACCATTTTAGTAGAGATGGTTGTTAGAATTAAAAGGCATGAAATGCCTTATTGTTAATTTACATTGTTTATCTTTCCTATAAATTTCAATTTATTGTACTCTTATCAATCAACCAAGTATGGAAATAAAGTTACTTCATATTTAATCAATTATTGATCTGAACAATGAAAACAGTGAATGTGAAAGATTTATTTAAATTTAATGGGTGTGGATTTTATATAAAATTTGTTAGATATTGCTATAAGCTAAAATGATCAAAATTCTCAATGTACAAAATGTGTTATCTCTGGTAGATGACTGGTGCTTTTGAGTATCTGGTGACCTTGATGAGTGATGTTGAAACTAACATAGTGTCTGTTGAGCGGGTCAAGGAGTACACACACACAACAAGGGAGGTAAGTTCACACTTGTCAGGGAGTGGGTAGTCAATGAAGCTGTGAATTTATTAGAAAATACTTTTGAACCATATTAAGGATGATTAATTTAATACACTGTATATATGTGCTTATTTTTATTTTTTTGAAAGTAATATACCAAAAAACTTTTGTTGTGTTATTATTCTAAAGCGTTTTGTTTTTAATATTAATGACGTTTAGGTTTCTAATCTATTATTTGATAGTTTTTTTTGTTTTTTTTTATTTATACAAAAATAATACTTATAACAAAATAATGTACAGGCAGAATGGATTCTAACCAACCACAGACCTCCCTCAGAATGGCCCCAGCAAGGAAGTGTTCAATTCGACAGTTACCAGACCAGATATAGGCCTGGCCTTGAACTTGTCCTAAAGGATGTATCATGTCAAATTCAAGGTGGTGAGAAGGTTTGTATTTAGGGAACATATTCAATTTATTTCAGAAATCCTTGTGAAGTTTCAAAAATTAAAATTAAATATTGAAAAGCTCTGATAGGGTTATTAACTTTTGTAAGGATGTTTTCCCCCATATTAACTCATGATAATCCATTGTTTCTGTCTAAGATAAATTGACTTCATCAGTGAAAGTAAGATAAAAAATCTTTGTGAATGTTTTAAAAATTTACAAAAAGTCATTTAATTTTTTAATCTATTTTTATAGAACCACTTTAAGAGACATGGCTCTGTTGTATTTCTATAATAGATTGGTATTGTGGGAAGAACAGGGGCGGGCAAATCTTCCATGACTGTGGCCTTGTTCAGACTTATTGAGGCAGCTGGTGGGAAAATTATCATTGACGGGGAGGAGATTGCCAGCATGGGACTTCATGACCTCAGGAGTAAACTCACCATCTTACCTCAGGTGAGATCTTGGGGTTTTTGTATTGTTGTTTCAATAGGAATGAATAACGTATCAAATGTTAAGTAGGGCAACATCTCATCTTGGTCATGCTTTGACTTCTTTTCCTGGTGTTTTTTTTTTTTTTTTTAAAGAATATTTTGCACATGTGAAAACCCTCTAATTTAGCCAGTGTGAAAACCCTCTAATTTTGCACATGTGAAATCCCACTTATTTTGAATTTCTGCAGGAGCCAGTAGTTTTCTCAGGAGCTCTTCGCACCAACCTTGATCCTTTTGATAAGTGCTCTGATGACCAGATATGGGATGCCTTGGAACATGCCCATATCAAAACTTTTGTGGAGAGTCTTCCTCAAGGCCTCAGCTATGAATGTGGAGAAGGGGGAAGCAATCTGAGGTTATTACAACATGAGATATTCCAAGAGTTGTTTATCTTGACACAATATAGCTAATCAACATGGCATTAGAAATCATGCCTTACCAACTTACCTTATTTTTCCCTGTGAAACATTACTATGTATTGATATTTGATTCAGTCTGTAATTGCAATAAATTTAACTTTTATTTTACAAAATTTACGAATTTTTCTAAATTTAATTAAATATTATACCAGTTTTTACATGCCTCATAGTTTATTGTGGAAATTTTAGAGTTCCATAAAGTTGGAATTGTCATGAGTCCAGCATTTGACAAGGCCAGAGTTCCTACATCTAAATACAGATAGGGAAATGTCCCCTTTTGTCTTATC